CCAATCGGTTTCACTCATCCCTCGACCCGTTAATTTGCATCTCCACAGCTATTTGGCTGGCCATCTTAGTTTCCTACACTGTCTTGACACTCCACGTAACTATATTCAATGTTGTTCTGTTTGTTAGAAGGATCATCGGACTCCTGACTTTCGAAGATCTTGGTCCTAGCCACAATGTGCCATAATTCTTCTACGTAAATATCATTTAACTTCTAGTTCGAAGTTTAAATGATGTGAATTGTTTTTCTGGCTAAGGCTTTTAAGCGAGTTTTTTCTGTGGTATGAGTTAACTAACTTTATGTATTGGGTTGTATTCTAGCGGTTTGACTCTGGTGAAATTTGGAATGTAGCTGTATGCGCAGACAACACATAGTTGAAGCTTTCACTCAAGTCGGCATGCAACAAAAAATTCACTCGTGGCTTGCATTAACTAGAGTAAATATTTCGATCTACTCGATATAATAAGAGGTTTTTGGAATAATGTGCTTCATCGCAAATGTTTTTCCTGAAAAAAATAACACCAATGATGTCTAAATTCAATTGGAAAGGAAAAGACGAAGGGACATTTTTTGAGTTTCCAATTATGAATAAGGAAGTTCATTGATGCGTAGTAAATTTAACTCGTAGAAACTGTGTACCCTCCCACGTGCTCAAAGTGTAAGATGACTAGAAAAATAAGAGTACTAGGTTCGGACTTCGTGCGTTCCTTACTTCAAGAGTAACAAGATAATCGTTCACCACGCCTACTCTCTCAACCAGACAGTAATAAATCAGCGAAATCGACTCGCAATAATAAAATAGCCAACCTATGGTGTTATCAGGAGTACTATTTCAACACATAAAAAATGAATAAAAATGCGGCACACGAGCAAACAAACGACCAAATGAACCAATCAGAGCATTCTCAATCATTCATGGTGCATACGATAAACTCAAATATACAGAACTTAAAAGTTCACCATGACACATAACTCAGATCTACTACTACACTCATCTATTTTTATTCCGTAATTTTAGTTCCAATAAAAGACTGTATAGAAATCAGCAGGAGTTGCTGGATGTGCTGAATGAGCGTGACAGATCTTGAACAAAACGTTATCCTGGTTTGTGATTATCATTCAGAAACCAGTAATTTCAGACATGTAGTGGTGTTCTAATACTACAGTCTTCTTTCTCAATCAAAAGGCTTGTATATCTGTTTCCTGAAAAACGGTACCAAGGCACTGATACTCCCCAGCCTTACTCAATCATTTCAATTTTTCGGCTACTTCAAATCCGAAGGACGCTTGTCGACCTTGAGACCGTTAGGTTTTCTATCTCCTAGCTGCTTCTCGTTCACTTCCAAATCCCTCATCATTGTTGATTGTACATAGTACTCGATGTAATTGTATGCTGTGAGTTTTGAGGGTTCTGGGACTCATCTACCTCAGAATTCGGGATTTTTATTTCCGCTCGCATATTAGTTTTCCGGATTACTTCCTCGTTTTCGTATACACTAGTTCAGGAACACTGTACTTTTTCAACTCCAAATTAAAACTCGAATTTTCGCTCTTCTGAAGAAAGACAACGCATAGATTAGACATAAAACTGTTGACGTCTGAAATAAATTTGCTATGATATGCGACGAGGCTTTCATGTAAGTCACCATGCCTAAAATTTCCTTATTCTAAAACAGATCTTCGTCTTTAGATAACATGTCAAGCGAAAACGTCAGTTCCTGGCATGCTGACATACAACCAGCAGTCCAGCATCACATCGACCTTAAGTCGAAATTGTGGTCAAAAGAAATTCAGTTGGATGTTTGTGATAGATTTAGCCTTTCAACACTTCTTGATTTTATGAATATGATTCGGAATTTGTCGTCTACTCACATAAAAAATAATCCTACATCTGACTCACCAGTGGACCACACTTACTTGAGTCTCCCTTCCAGTGTTTGTTTGGACAAAACTTCACTGACATTGCATTATCCTCTCAGTGATTATGGCTCCGTACACGATATTCTTTGTAAGAAAGAGGGCGGTTTGAACGAAAACCTGGTATGCGCCATTATGGGCCGAGTAGTATTATGCCTTGACCAATTGCATAATAGTGGTTTACTCCATCGAGGTTTATGTTCGAAACATCTACTTTTCAAAAAAACGTTAGATCCTAACTCAAACTCTCATAAATTAAGTGTGGTTCTCTGCGGTTTGGGAAGTATGGCACAGCTACCACCATCCTGGAGTACTGTGGCGCGAAACGATCTGCCCTTCCTTTATGTTGCATGGCGTGGTTGGAGGTTGCATGAGTCGTCAGGAGGTGAATCATATAGCCATCCAGTAGCGTGGTACAGCCCGGAGTTATTGGCACAGGATTTTACTGGATATTCGTGGTCTTCAGATATATACAGTTTAGGTCTTATTTTGTACGAAATGTTCACTGGTCAACCGCCATATATCGGATGTCCTCCTTCTCTTATATTCCTGAAGAAAATGCTCCAGCTAGATTTCCCTCAACTTCACTATGTAAGTTCTCTTCTAAATATATAGACCCTCTTTAGTTAAAGCAATTACGTTCAAAAGCATATGATTTAAAAAATAAAAACTGATAAATTTGTATGTTAATTAAACGTATTCGAATTAGTGTACTAAGGATTTATGAAATAGTGCTATTTAAGGCAGATAGAACTAGATGAGCACAATTGGGCGTATTATATTCATGATTCGTAATCGGCGCGCAACCATGTACTAAGGAGTCGTCAGTTGATACAAATACTACAATTTGTCGACTGGGATCTCCACTGCTTTCCATCGGTAAAATCATGTGAAGGTGAATTGTAAGATGCTCTTGTTAAATTTAAAATTTCATTAGATCAAGTGTGAGGCTTTTTGTAAACAGGTATAGGTTATTGATTACTTTGTTGCTTCGGTTTGGGCACCCGGGCAGTTTCACAGCCCTCACACATATCAAATGAGATTTGTGTGGCACATATGTATTTGGTGCTTCTTTGTACCAATATCTATGTGTTGAAATAAATAAATACTTTGTTGCTAGTTTTTCTAACTCGGTAATCTCTTTTTTACATTCCACACCGTATGGATTTGACCATTAAAAAGGCAAACAGTTTACTCCACAACGAATATAGTTCAGTTCTCTCACTTTCTATACGTAATCCAGGTTGGAAATGTTACATTGCTTTCGTTAAATTATCTTGTTTACGCAAATTCACCTCACTTGTTCACTTTTTGTATATATTGTAGAAGGAAATGAACTTTAATCCATCAGCATCCATTTGATGCAGTTAGTCACAGTGCGGCATGCAAATTATCAGTAAGGTTGATAAAATAGTAAAATGGTAATTACAGACACTATTTATTGTAGTTTTCACTATATACTGCTTGTCGACCAGTGATGAAACTTATTGAACGAGTCATTATCTGCCTTCCGATTCCTTACAAAAAATATTTTGTTAAAATATAATGGTAATCAGAAATAACTTCGTCCATATTCTGAAGGCTTTCCGCACACAGCACACTAAACTTCTGTAATCCTTTGCTGTGTCTGCAACAAACTATCCACTATGTGCTATTCATAACTCTCCAACGACTAGCGGTAATCAGTTAAAGTTTTCCCAGCTCTTGAGTTCATCGTACACCTCAACTAAAAATGCCTCGCTATCTACTGTTAAATCTAAAGTTAAACAATGAATGATAGTGGATCGTAATACAATCAAGCGTGCCTTAATAATATTCCAATTATCAGTCCTTATTTGAATAAAAGGGTCCTGACTGATTTTCTTAAATCAAGTAGATTATTTTTTTCATGGGCATGCTTAGTACCATCAAGTTCGCGTAGCTTGATAAACCAATGTTCACGTCTCATTCGATATACGAGTAAACGGGGAGTAATTGAAGAGTGGCCGTTCATTGAAATTAAGTTAGAAGTTTTTGTTACTTCTGTACAGAAAACTTTGCAGGTTCCTTTATAACTGGTAGATGTACGTAGTTAGTAACTTTTTGAAATATTTAAGATAGGTACTTAATTGATATTGAGACCAACTCCTAATATTTTTATCCAAACGTATATTAAACTTCAATCTAGTACAATCAAACACCACCGAGTCGTTTTACATAAATCCAATTTAGTCCTTCAGACAGGTATGAAATTTATGTTACCGTTAGGTGTGCTCTTTTTATCTCTTTTCAAATATACTGGGTATGCTAGATTTTTTTCATCTAACCTTATATAGCAGTGTAGGTAGGTGCAGACTATCTAGTTCCTGTCTGCGCAGTTATCGTTACTAATGACTGGGTACGTCGGGCGACATAGTTTGAAACTAGTCTCAACGGTTCGGATGCTCATTCCTTTATCTCTCGTTAAATAATGAGTCTTCCTGAATCATATTGTCTACGCCCAATCGTTACGACTGCTATTATTTTTGAATTACATTTAACGAGACAGTATTCAGCTATCTATATTAATAGCTAGTAAGATCATGTTAGCCTTTCACATTCAATTATCAATTATATGTACCCTGACTCCATTTGGACACCCGGGCAGTATCACAGCCCTCACACAAATCTCATTTGATTTGTGTGACGCATATGTATCTGGTGCCCCCTTGTACCAGTATTTATGTGTTCAAATAAATATATATATATGTATGAATGTTGCATTTCTGCCATAGTTGTCCTGTAAATTTTTATATCCTACTGGGGTTTACACTCATTTTCGCTAAAATATTTTGTCATTCCATTTCTCCTGTTTATCTCCCATTTTCTTAACAAGAATGAAACTAATCCGCCCAGTGCTGAAATGGAGGCAATCTACAAAGCTTGTACGCATTACGATCCAAAACAACGTCCATCTACAAAAGATTTACTAAATATGCCATGGATACAAAATGGTTTAAACATAGTTATCACAACTAGCGAGTTAGATTCCTTACGTTGAAATACTCAACTAATCAAAACGGTAGTTTGAGCAAGTGACATTTTCTATATTAGAAAACTTCTTTACAATAATATTCTTTATATTTTTACAATATTTACAATGAGTTTATAAATCGAGTGTACAGATGTATGTATAAATCAGAATTAATACATGGTAGTCTAGTTTTTATTTGACTTTTGTATCCAAACCATTTGGATAATGTTTTTTAAATCTTTCAACAACTGCTGGATCAACCAAATAAGTTCCGTCCAATTGGTTTCCAAGCGTGATCCTGTGGTATTTTTTTGTTAAAAGATTAAAACAAAAGTGAAAAACACTAACAGTATGGAATAGCACTGTTAATCTTATGGTGGACCATTTATTAATTAGTGAGTAGGTAGTAAGAATTAAGGAGCAGGTTGTTTTATCGTTTCCTCTGCAAACGCTTAAACCGAGCACGCTAGATCCATTTTAGGATCAAAAATTTAGGAAACAGGATGCAGTTTTCACATTCTATTGCCTTAAGTAATAAGAGGAAGTCCTGAACTCAAGTTTCGCATTAATTAGCACTGATCCGTATGACTTGCCTGCAATCTTGAGGCAACTTATGCTTCCTGTGTGATTGAAACTCACGTCACCCAGCTTTACATTCTAGGGTCTTACCGCTGAGTTATTCAGGTAGTAGTGTTCCAGAGTATCACGGCGAACGATGCAAGTCCGGATCTCCGGTGGAGCACCAGTCCCCTCGAGACTGCAAGTACGCCTTGCTGACAAGGAAAAACTAGTGAGAAACCTAGCTCCAACCATCTAACATCTAAACAATGAACGTGATGATGATTTACTCACACTAGTAATCACATAGCAACCTGATTAGTGAAGTCCGATTACGGTTGAATGAATGACTAGGTGGACATGATACTAGTCGCTAGTGAGTGATTAGTTAAGTACAGTGCCTCACTGTTTGTTTCACCACTTTCTGGTGAATCAGAATTTTCATATGTGCATTTATAAGAACTTGAAACAAACAATGAACTACTATCCATATGATTTTAACTGGTTTACTAGTAACTGACAACAAGAACAAAATCGACGTTGTGTAGATCTTTTGCCTACAATGAGTCGTGTTAGACCAATTGTTATGTAGATGGTATTCTAATTAACACTCTCCTACCTTGAAATAACATACTAAGCCTGATTTGTTTAATATGCTATTGGCTACTACATAAAATATTGAAAGGTCACATTATGCGAAAGAGATCTTGGTGTTAAACAAGTACTTTTTCATGGAAGTGAAAATATTTTTAGATAACTCAATAAATACTATTTTATCATTTTGGTTTATGTTTCTAGTGTAAATCTAAATTAGAATATACATGTCTGAAAAATGAACATGGATTTACTCTTCATATTGCATGTTCTTACCAGTTAGGCTGTAAGTTATGAGGACGTCCAAATAATTCGAGCTTGCGCGTACCAGGAGATAATCGTTCAATTATACCGTAGATTTCATCAGGTTTATGACTAGTTTCACGAACTTCAGAGACAATTATATCACAGTCGAGACCTCGATTTACACCCTTATAAAAATACGAATATCGGTGTAAGAATATAATTAAAATTGTCCCCCAAAATAAAGTTAGTCAGACGTAACATACAACATGGTACATATGTAAATTGGTTCACGTCGCCACATCACATTAACGCAGCGAAATGAAATTATCAACACAAGTGAGAGAATAGTAGAAATAGTAACGGTAGTAGCAGATAAGATCAAACATAGACATATGATTTAAAAAGAACCCATTTGTGTATAAAATGTATGGGGTAAAATAGAAACTCAGTATCTAAGAGTAGACAAATAGTGGATGCATCTGCGACCGATTCTAATACACGTTACTCATCTCTAACCGTCGGTTGCAATGATTATGCGGACCCTAACTAGATGGTCTGCAGTCAACAGTCAATGCACTCATGGAAAAATATGTTCTGGTCCGCCCACCATTGGTTCCTTCTAACTTACCACAATACCAAATATCACGTCGAAGTAGTTGGTGATTGGGTATACGTAATGCACGCCACAACCACCTCAGTCGATTTGTGACTTTTGCTTAATGTTCTACGTCTGACCTAACCACTGCTCTTTCGGTGGTCCCAACATATGGGGGCAATGCTTTAAACGGATCTGTGATCAAGTACTAATAGTCTACGAATATCCTTAATTCTTAAAGGTCACATTTCGCTGTCGTCATGTAGAACAGAGAAGTATTGCTGCACGGTTGGGAGACGGAGATCTCATCTACACCACAATTGATGTGAATTAGCAGAAACTAATTGAGCTTATTGAATCCATACCGAAATTTCATCACATACCAACCCACCAGGATTTATGAGACTTCCAAGATAAGTGAAGTAGTTGACCCACTGAACTACTTCATTTCCTACAGCTAGTTTGAGTGTCGGCGCCAACCAGTAGTGGTCATTCTTATTGAATAAAGAATAACTGATAAAATTTATTTTCAGCTTACTTTTGGGTTGCCTTTTACACCAACTAAACAATGTTCTTTGCCATGATTTAACCAATGTCCTGTACGTCCTGTCCGAATTAAACGTTGCAATTGGTTAGTTTTAACCCATATAATTTCATCTACGCGTTCGTAACCCCATAAACGTAAGCATTCTCGACCAAGTTCCATAGCTCTGTGTGATTTGAAATTAAAAAATAGCTAGAAGGTAATCATCCAAATTACAGAGTTTTAAAGCAAGAGTTGAGAAAGGTGTCAGAGTGTTTATTACGAAATATGACAGTTTAAGCCGCTACACATCACAACAGCAATATGTCTAAAACTCGAATAAACCAAAAGAAAGTTACGCAGATCCTACAATTGCTCATGTGAACTCCAATTACAGGAAGTACACATATCTCGATACGGTATAAGTCACCAATCAGTGATTCCATGAACTAGTCTGACGCCTTAATTTGATGGTTATGAACGTTTTTTTAATCTGTTATGCTAATTAGCATTACATGTCAAGATAAGTAGAGTAATACGCATATGTAACGATTGGTTCACCATTTAAATTAAGTAACATTCGAAGTAGATTCACACATCACTTAATTTTATGGAACTATCAAATCTGAAACATGTTTTAAACACACAACCCGAAAAGTGGAACTTGAATATCTGAACGAACGATTTTCAGAACTCCTGGTATAGAACAAAACATCACTAGTGTACATTAAGATCGAATTTATTAGTTGTAATTTAAATGAGAAAAAAAACATTCACTGACCTTCCTGTTACCCATAGGAATATATAACCATCATCTTGTAAACAAGGTATATCTAATCGTCTCATCTCATCGTCTGACATTGTTCCATAGGGCAGTTCCATGTGTATATCCCATGGTGGATCAGCCATAATCACTGCAAATTTTCCAAGGATTGACATATTTATCAGTCGTATATCACAGTTAATCCACTGGAAAAGTGATAGCAAATACATGAAAATTAGTAATCTTATTCGCAGTATTGTGTATCAAGTGAGTCATTTTTCAACAGTATATACATTCTGAAGCACTCTACCAGCGGTTATAACCACTACCTCTTCAGTGGTAGACAATTATGAAAGGAGGATAAACAATTATGTATTTACCTAAAAAAATGCTCTGCTCTAGCTGAAACGGACGGACAATAATAGGACAAGTTCCTTTAACATGCGTTACGCGATACTTCCTTTTTAATTTCACCATCGTATTAATACTTCTTAGTCTCTGAGGAACATATTATGATTAAGTTTTTTTACGAAATAGGACGAACGGAATGAATCTCTGAAGGTGCGACATCAGTGGTTTACAATGGTTCCATTGCTCCGAGGAAAACATGCTTAGTAACTCATTTACCAAGTAAACGCTTATGTAAATGGCTTTAACCTACATTGCTTATGTAGTGATACTGCAGTGAATGAGAACGCGGGCGAGGACAACCAGCTGTATTTAAATACAGAATTACAGAATCTCAGTAAAATCGGAGAACAATACAGTAAATTTCGATAAAACAATGAGAAGACGGAGTTGATCTGAAAAATGTGATGTATTTGCGCTATACATTTCGAACAATCTGGTCACACATTTTTCAGATCAACTCCGTCTTCTCATTGTTTTATCGAAATTTATAAAAGGGACTAATTGCTTTAAATACAGTACATACTTCATTTGCAAAATATCCATCAATTGTCCAAGACTATATTGTTCCTTCATTTCTATACTAGTCACTCTCTATTTTCGTTCTCTTCTCTTTGATCTCAGCCTTCTCCCACCAGGCATTCCATTTTCGATTGATGATACAAACTACTTATATCTGTCGACATCAGTAACGCATACCACAATACGATTCTATTCTTTAAACTGCGTCGGATGAGGCAGGGCTCAAACCCTCAGCTTACTTAATACATAAACAACTAATTTAGCTACTAAGAAATCAAACAGCTTTCCGTAAAATATACCAAACTCTAAATACTTATTGAATTTGAGGAGGCTGTTGCAAACAATTTGTGAATAATTTACTGGAACATTTACTAATGCGAGTTAAGAATTGATATGAAAACCTTAATATACTGATCAAAACAACTTGGATATTGATCCTATGATTAATAGTTGTAGTTAGAAGTATTGCCCACTTGACATAATTTGAAAATTAATGACTGCGCAAAATTCAGGATATTGTCCACCATGTATTTCTTCTTGAAGAGCACATACCAACTGACATTTGAGTAAAGATTCTCAAATGTCTGTAGGATCCGATACGACCAGAGTTTTTTAGATATCGATGGATGTAGCCGTGGTATTCCGAGAACGAACTTGTAAAACCTACAATAACCGTTCGAGTTTCTGACAGATAATTCGATCGTCACGTCTGATTACCCTTTCTACTTACCACCAGACATAATCCCTATGAGTTCATTATGTTTACAGGCTAAAAACCAAACCGAAACATGGCATCAGTCCATGAAGTCACTAGCAACTGAAATTAGTCATGTTGATAGGTATAGACTACCTGGTTGGGGTTCTTGTGATTATCGTAATCAATGGTTACAGACTTTGAACGACATGATTCAAAATCGTTTGCAATGGTGTATTTGCATCTATTCTTTGTTTTCACTCAAATTCTAAATTCCTGACAACTTTTTCATTTCACTGGCTCATACTTTCTTTTCGAGTTGTATCTTTGATATCCAATCTTTCCTATTACCACTAGATCTAAAATTCTGAACTTTGACCTGACAATTTCAGCTCTGTGCGAATAGGGTATGGCAACTTGAACCGATGTACATACGTATAATTTATACATTGTGACTAACAGACTGAAAAATGTTGATATGGTACGGTATTGAGTTATTATGGGAGTGATAAAAAATGAAATAGCGAAGCAGATGAAGAACATAACTTTGAAAGTCCTTCAGGGATGTCTTCGTCAAGTATTTTGTCACAAATTGGGAGGATTTTAAAGGAAATAAGACTGAAACACTTCGTGTTTTATAGAATATTTATGAGCCCAGTTCATCGACTTATTGGACAGAGCAGTAAATACGTATACACATTGATAATTTTCGTTATAGTTGCGTGTGGGATAGGATACTGCACGGACTCCCAGACCGAATCAGGTGGCTTTTTTAGAAGACTAGCCCTCGAGTCTTTAACCTAGAGGCCTAATCCACAAAGCGGTGGGGCGAATTTAGGAGATAAGGTTGAGAATTATGGTTTCCAATTATCCTAGGTAGGCCCTCCGTATTCACTAACCCAATTCAAGCTCTGGTGGTGGCGTGACTGAACAGATCAATTTATGTATAGTGAAAGCCAGAGTAGCTCATGCCAATCTGGGCCATCTTTGGTCCCTTCGTCATGTAAATGTGGCTGTAAAGGTCGGGTCAACAACGCGTGGGTGAAAGTAGTTTTGCTCTATGATTGTGAAACCTAACCCCTCTGAGTGGAAAGAACTCTTTATGCTCGACGATTATTGTTTCCGAAAGATTGCTGATATTCAATGTCAACGTCCAGAGGTCCGTCAACATACGTTTGGGCACAGTAACGATAATTCAGTTAGTGTCACCACCTTGAAACACCGAGTTTGGTGGCTTGGACACATATTACGAATACCGTGCCAATGAATTCCACATTATTTGCCAACGCCTAAGCTGATTGGGAAAAGTGGATAAGTGGTTTATGACATAGAGCCGGGGTGCGGAAAAAGCCGTACAGGATTTGAATTTGTTGGTTTTTCACTACTCCCTAAATGAGATCCTAAAGATAGTTCAACACAATAACTTGAGACATAACTGGGGATTTTACTTTGTAAAAGTGAGAGTAACTTCTTGAACTGAAAGAATCCTTTCTGGCTGTATATTTTTCTCAACTGCACTGGTTCTACCATTATTTGCTACTCGCATTCACTAGTTTTTATTCATCTATCATTATGTTTATTTATTATACTCACTTTCCTTCCTCTATCTCTTCACAACCACATTTTCTTGTTGTGTATGGTGCATCTTTATACCAATAGTTATGTCTTCAAATAAATAAATAAATGATATACATATAACGTTACCTGAGGTGGATATAAAATTAGTGATGTTCCATTGTCTTTTACAGCACCACCGCCACTAACACTGACACCGTCATCAATTGAATCTATTGAAGATGTGTTGATTTGTGACGATGATACTGATAATGATGACGAAGACATTGTATTTGTTGTAGAACTATTATCATTTTGATTATTTTTCTTATTATTTAACACATTCCGATTAGCAACACCACCATCCAATTGTTGATTAACACTATCTGTATAATCTATTGTGTAATGAACATACTAAAACAACAAAGAAAGTTTAAAAAAATCAATGATAATGAGCAGGGTGACTTATGTAAGAATTAGGAGAATTGATCATTTAAGAATGGAAAGTGTCAGTTACAAGTCCCACCTCATTTCCCACTGTTTATTTATAATCTCGATTATTGAATTTATGTTACATTTCGTATATATATCCTTAGACTTATTCTGTTTTGTAACAGATTTATTGGATACGAAATGTTTTAGAAAGGTATGTATATATTTTAGACGAATGTTTCAAAAAGATCACGTGTACGAAGAACAAACAATAGTGAGAAGTGAGAATCCTATATAGTGTATGGAGTGTGATGAATGGATTGATGTGACGATCAATAATTGTGCTCCGCGAATTGCTATATTGATCACTTGTATAATGTGTAGGTATGTGTGTGGATTTAATACATTAGTTGAATCCCTGTTTAAATTACTGTCTGAGTTTATATAGTCGAATAATGGTCATGCAGATGTACACAAGTGGTCATACACACATAGAAATGAAAGGTAGATAAAAGTAATTATCAAAATGATACGACTAAAAACGGCATACATTTATTTATCAGTCGTGTTTTTTAATTGTTAAGACAAAAATGAATTTGCATAGTTTAGGGGTAGTGGAGAATGTTAAATTTTTTATTGAGATCATGAACCTATTGATGTTAGACCATCATTGAAAACCTGGAAGCACTGGACGGCCGTTTCGTCTTATTGTGTGGATGCTCACTGCTGAAGAGTACCACAATAGGACGAAAAGGCCGTCCAGTGCTTCCAGGTTTTCAATAGGGGTCTAACATCAATCGGTTCATGAACTCAATCAAAAAATTTGCATAGGAATGTACACGATGTGTTGTTTATTTCCTTTAGACACATAAGCTAGCGATTGAAGTAGCAGATTGATATGGTAAACCAATCAGGGCAAATGCATGTCATTGGCTTAGAAATGGGTTGATTCTCTATGGGGTATATATATATATATATATATGAGCATTTGTGCATTTTATTCGGTAGTTCAATAAACTTTATCATCCACTCTCATATTTGCACTCATGGAGTCAGTTGGAGGGGTTGGTGTGTATTATATTTCGGGCACCATCCAATACAACACGGATTCCAAATGGAGAAAACTAATAATAAACATTCACATTCAACCAAATCTTCATGAATTGGATACCAATCAAATTTAACAGTATTCGAACCGTTAACATTCAACGTTTCACTGGACTTCTTTATTGACTCATTCCCGATTGTAGGAAAATTCAGCTGACGAACACTAAATAGGACGAAACGCGCATCATGGATTCTAATGTCAGCCACCACTCATATGTACTTAGAACGCTTATGAGTTAATGGCAATATCAAGGTAATGCGCACAGGATGCACATATGCTTCAAGCGCTGGATTAATTGCAGTCTTAAACAACAATGGGAACATTCCAACAACCAATATAAATGAATTAGATAATATGAAATTTCCTTACGTTATTAGAAAAAATACAGTACAAAGATTAATGGCACATTTTTCTTCGATTTTATAGTAACAGTGTAGCGATTAGTAGTGCTTACGAGGTTGACTGCTTCATATGTATATCTGGGTATAAATTGATGGGAACGATAAATACGGAGATAGTTGAACTAGGAAATTAACGGCGGACGATGCTGTTTTTTCAATATTTATTCAAAGCTATTTGACTACATATCATTAGAAGTAATACAATTATCCTGTACACGTTTATGTACTCAGCTTTGAGTCATACTAATTGTGTAAGGGCTAGGAATACAACTACTAATTAATTAGCCAAAAACGAACATGAGACGGGTTCAAACCTATAACTTACTGACTAAAAGCAGAAAAAAAAATCATGGTATACTACTTCATACTTACTTTACACGTGTCAACATGAAAACAAGTATTCAAGAATGAACAGTCTCCAAGAGATTCTGAAATTAGAAAAATAAGACTTTAAATGAACTTACAGATTCGTTTAGGTACTTTCAGACTGTATTACAGAAAATTTAAGGTGAAATCATGAACTGATAATTACCGAGGGCATGTCTGAAACTAACTCCGCCTGTAGCTCTTCTAGAGATACTGCCGATCCCAAGCCCGGGTAAAGAAGAAGGGTTGGACATAGGGTTAGAGACCCCATCTCGTAGAAAACTAACTCGCTAAAAAAAACAATAACCAGAAAAAATGTCTGAAACCACTAACATCCTAGTTGGAAGGAGGGGTGATTACACTATAGTCGTATATAATGATTAGATACGTTGGGCGATTTAATGAAAAATTGATCGCAGTGACACAGTTGTGTCCGTTAGATAGTTAGCCTTCTGAGTTATGTAACATTCCTAATTTTTTTATTTTTGTTCTATTCGAACTGCATAGTAAGTGATGTAACGAACGGTTTAAAATATTCTTTTTACTCTCAGGTATACTACATTATTACGATAACAAGACTAGTCATGTTATTAAAAGCAGTTTGAGAAATTGGAATGAGAGGGGTATAAATGAATGAATACTAGGACTGAAGACATAAATGAAAATAAAGAGTGAATATATTTACGTAATTGTGACCAATTTTTAGTAATGTCATACTGTCTATAATTATGGAAACTACTTTTCTTGCTTCAACTAACAATCAAATAATTCAAATTACTATTATTATTATTATTTACTATATCATTATTCACCCTCTTTTATTCCTACTCTGTCTATACTTATTTTTTTCGACTTATACAGCGGCTCGTCTATGGTGGAAATTCGACTCTATCTAAACGTTCTCGAGTCACTGTCCAGTTGAAAGTTGTATGTTACCACTGAATATGAGTACTGAAGCAGCTTTTTTTGAAACCACGTGCACCATTCAAACTGGCTGCCTTCAACGTTCGCCCACTTATGCAGGTCGGACAACAGATAGGGCTGGCTATGTCTTTAGAAAGTCTTAATATCGATGTTGTCTATCCGAGACCCGTCTTCAAGACTCTGGTGAATTACTACAAATTCGCTCTTCATCTGTCGCTTCGAAAAGCTTGTTTAACGTGCGCTTATCCGGGGACCCTGTAGCATCGTCGTCTGGTCTTGCTGGCGTTGATGTCACACTAAGCGCTAGAGCTGAGGCAGCACTAGTCGATTGGATCCCCATTAACAGTCGGTTATGTTCTGTTAGATTAGAAAGTTCCATCAAACTGAGAAGAAATCGGCGTGAGAAACGATGTCTTTTCGTCATCTCCGCCTATGCCCCGACAGATTGCAGCACGGATGCAATCAAGGATGAGTTTTACCACCAGTTATCTGTTTTTCTCCAGAAAGTGCGCTCGACAGATATTGTAGTACTAGCAGAAGACTTGAATGCTCAGGTCGGGCGTCTAGGAACAGAAGAGAGTCGTTTGGGTGGCTGATGGGGACTTGTTGGTCGCAGGACAGATAACGGGGACCGTCTACTGCAACTTTGCACAGACCACAACCTGTTTCTGGCTAGCACTAACTTTCGGCACAGTCATCGCCGATGTGCCACCTGGCGTCCTCCCTCTGCATCTCAAGTCTGGACTCAGATTGACCACATCGCGATCAGCTACCGCTGGCGTGGTTGTGTACAAAACTACCACTCCTTTTGGAGTACCTATCTGGACTCTGACCATACCTTGGTCTGCGCCAATCTTGCCTTACTTTTCAGTGGACAACGAAGTGACCGCCATCAACGGATTGATATTAGCAAGCTGGTTGCAACTTCTGTTGCAAGTAAGTATCGAACCGAGCTAGCCTCTAGGCTAGCTACCATTCAACTGAAAAGTGTAGATGAGCATTGGTTGCAATTGCATGACGCCATGAAAATGGCGGGTACAGTCAGTTGTGGGTTCGCGAAACGTCTTGCTTTTAAGCACTGGGTTTCTGCAGGTTCTTTACAACTTATTGAAGCCCGTCGGTCTACCCCGGGTGACCGTGAGTTTGACCACAAACAAAGGATGTTACGTAAGGAAACTGGGCAAAGCTTGCGTAAGGACCGAGAAGCCTGGTGGTCGGAGCGTGCTAATGAGCTGGAAGCAGCAGCTGCATCTGGTAACTACCGGAAGCTCTTCCAGCTCATCTGAGCCACTGGCAGCAAGAAGTCTGGTGTGAGCGGAACAATCTACGAGGACGACGGGATGCCAATCACTAACATCCATCGACGTCTTGGACGATGGGCAGAATTTTTCGAAGGGCAGTTCAACTGGCCTGCTGCTCCGGCAACATCGGTCAGACTGTCCTGCCCTCCATGGCCGGTGACGACTGATCCACCAAATGACGCGGAAGTCCGCAAATAACTCCAACTCTTGAAGCGCTACAAATCACCTGGCCCAGATGACTTACCTCCGGCTCTTTTTAAAGATGGTGGTGACTTTCTGACTAAGGAATTGACTGAGTTGTTTACAAAGGTCTGGGAGCGGCTTATGTCAATCTGGGCCATCTTTGGCGCCTTCGTGATGTTAGTCTGGCTGTAAAAGGTAGAATCTACAACGCATCGGTGAGAGCAGTTTTGCTCTATGCTTGTGAAACCTGGCCTCTCCGAGTTGAGGATGTTAGACGACTCTCTGTGTTCGATCATCGTTGTTTCCGAAGGATTGCTGACATCCAGTGGCAACAACATGTTAGTAATGCAGAGGTTCGGCATCGTGTGTTCGGGCACAGAGACGATAATGCGATTGGTGTCACCATCTTGAAACACCGACTTTGGTGGCTTTGACATGTTCTCCGAATGTCGTCCCAGAGAATCCCACGTCGTGCGTTATTTGCCGACTCTGGGACTGGTTGGAAGAAGCGGAGAGGTGGTCAGTGCATGACATGGTGTCGTGGTATGAAAGAAAGTTGCAAAGGACTGGCTTCTGTCGGTCCTTCACGATTCCCTGGTTGGGGTCCGAGAAATAGCGCAACACAGTGGCTAGAGACGTTATCAGATATGGCTCAGAATAGAAGCCAGTTGCGATCCTGCTGTAACCTTCTTTTACTTTCTTCACAAAAAGTGGTTGTATCTTCCTTAATTGAAAGATTTCTTCTGATTGTACCTTTCCGTTCCATTGTTACGACCACACTACCTTACACCAATCTCTTCGTCATCGCTCTCCATTTTTACACCCCTTAGCTTTTTTCGTTTTCCTTCTCTTTAAATTCTCATTGTTTTGTGTGGCGCATATATATTGGCGCTCTCTTTTATCAATATTTATGTGTTCAAATAAATTAATTAATTAATTAATCATGATAATTACAAGAATCCAAACTAGGACATTGGCATTAGACAGTGGCTTTATGAAATGATTCTACGTTTTCGTTTCTCCGACCTTATACATAAATATAACATATGTACTTACCATCCGTATGTGGGTGTATAATTTTACGGAAATGAAGTTTAGTACACCGTTTCTTATCACCAGTTCGTGATTTAACTTTCGAGCATTCAGTACGGGTACCATAAGAACAAAACTGTTGTACTTGACTGCCTAAAATTAATATATATAAATGTCTCGGTAAGTGGTAATTTAGAAAAAACAATATCAATAAATAAATCAAACATAATATGTAATCAATATGATGAACAAACTATCCACCGAATTCTCAATACTGGAACATGATGATTATTCAGTGGTTTGTAATTACCAGTCACCTTTTTTAATTATGTGATCACTGGAAATTATTTCCTGAAAGTGATTTAATTTGATTCCTGTTCTAAATCTTTCAATCTTTCTTGGTACTCTTCAGCAGTGGACATTCGAATCTACGATCCTTAAATCTCCATCTATGACAATTGAGGTGTGTTCACTAGTGAGTAAGTTAGGGAAGTTTAAAGGGGAAATTCGTGACCGATAGGATCACACCATGTCAAGAATAAGACAGATGATATCAAATCACAACAGGTGGAATTTTAAGGAAGGCAAAGAGTTATAGTAGACAACTATTCAAATAATTAGTTTTTTAGAGATTCCATATAGTACTCGGTAGCGGTTTGAGAATTTTAAGCAATAAATATTTTGACAGGTCTGTTGCTAATTCGAACGCTTGATACTCACTTTATAGCTGGTTTCTAGTTTTCGAGAATCCTCCCACACTAGAGCTCCGAACGGTAGGAAAAAGGTGCAAAGTAACAAAACGTTCAGGGCTCATTGATGTACAGAAAACAACAGCACTTATAGATTTATCAGTAACCTTTGACCTCCAGAAGCATGCTAATTTAAGTACCACAGTAAGAAGTCAATCAAAGTGTGACAGTCTGTCCATCTACTAAGTATTTTTGTGGCCATATGCTGATTAGACAGAATGTCCGCATATATATCCTGACTTCTGAAGACCTTAACGAAGAATTCTCTGCAGATCCCAAATATCTCTGTAGTTACATCTGTAAGTCTTATAAACTAAAGAGATTCACAGAGAAGCACCCATTCTATAAAACGATATGGAAGATAGTAAAAGCAATAGAGTTTAATAAAAAATATTTGTGGAGATTGATTCGATTTGTAAAATATACTGGTCACGAATTGACCTCAGTTGAGGTATTAATGAAAACCAAGAAGCACTGAACGGTTGGTCCGATGGTTCTATCGGTTAAGCGCTGGCAACGAGACCTGAAAGTCATGAATTCGGTCTCTGTTGGGGTCACATGTGTGCAGTGCTAAGTAGCCTCATACTGTGGCGAAACAACTGTCCAATTCTCTTTGGCTCTCAACAGTGCATCAATTGAGATCAATCTGTAACTAATAAAACACATGGAATCAATAAGTGAAGTGCTAGAGATGAGAATTAGATAGTTCTTCCTTCAGTATCTCACCTACATAATGAAGTGATATCGGTTGAAAGACATGTGAAAAGTGAAAGTGAACTGGGCATTTCAATCGTAATAAACTGCTCTTATTACAGAACAGTTCACACCAACCGACTATTCACAACATCTAGTCAAGAACTATTCAACGTCTGTAGCAATTAGTCAAATAACTCAACATTAAAAAATATTGTCTCATCTCAACAAGATCGTGATACGATTTTTTAGTCAAATATGCTAACTAATTAACATGTTTTTATTATGTATTTGATGAATTAAATAGATGCATTCAATGTAAATATACACAAACACATACCTCCTTGAGTTCGGAAACGTTCGGTTAGGAATCTTTCCTGTAAAGAATATTTGAAGATAGAAAAAAGATATACTTTACATATATATCATTCCAGAAAGTTGTTATACATGGGAAGTATACATATTACAACTACAAAACTGATGTGTCCTGTGAGGATAAGAAATTGTTGATTAAGACGAGCAGACAAATAGATTTGTGTATTTTAATCTATATTTGTCCAACACTGGTTATATATCGGTCGAATGAGAGCGTATCATATGACGTTCTCGGTCTATTGACTGAAAGACCATTTTAGTGTTTGATCCTAAATGTTTAATTATCTATTATTTGGTACAGAGTGACCAAGCGTCTAGTGTAGAATCGTGGATGAAAAGCCTTGTAATATTCCGTTCTGACGAAACAGTATGAAATTGACGAATATACGTACTTAATAAGTAAAACAAAGCATCAGTCTATCCACCCAACTATAGTTTCAAGATAGACGAACGAATAAAAAATTTTGTGAAGAGTTCATTTTTAAAGGGACATCTATAAGACATTAGTCAGCGAAATTGCATTTTTTTTTACATACATCAAGCAATTTTGAATCGTTTTACCGTATTAGTTTGAGTGGTTTTAGCTTTGGTCAATGTCAGAAGGGTGCATTGAATTCATTGATATACTGTGATCTATTGTGCTATATCCCTGAAGTTATTATTATTGTTATTAAAACCAACTCACTTTTCGAAGTACAGATCTGTATAATTGACTTTCGGCTGATACTACACGGTTGGTTAAACTAAAGTTGATGTGTGGAATTCGAACCTGAAACTCAGTGGTTGAAAGTCGAATATCTTAAACACTGAACCACATTTAGGTTTATAATTCCGATGTTCTCGGGAACAATACTCCATCAGTTGAAGCACTAGACTCCCAACTATTGGTTCATAAGTTCAAGGCAGTCGTTAGTATAAACAACATTAAACCATAAATTTATACCAGCTGTCTACATTTCACCACGAATCGCTCAATTGAGATACTTTTGATTCTTATACATAGTGACAAACGCTCAATTCTTTGCAGAGATCAGTAGCTAGAGACCTTGGGTGATATAGCTCAGAACAGTTCACAGTGGCACAGACACAGTCACTACTCATCTTCTTGATGCTGAATTCCAGTTCCCCTTCACGAATACTTTTCCATTCTAACTTCTTTATATTCCGATGGTTTAGTGTTTTCTTCCATAATTCCTACATTATTTTGATGTCTTTTGTTACTTTTACGTTGTGGTGCTAATTAGGTATAGGAATCTAGGCCAATGAACATCTGTTTCATGCTCTATATTGATGATTTCTCTGTTTGTTTATCCATCGCAGCGTAATTATTCAATGACAGATTTCGTAAATGTTTTTAAGTCAATATATTCCATCAGTTCATCTACAATAACTCTTTTCTAATTGATCAAGCAAAGAGTACTTGAATTGGAATACATTTATCTCGTTTTTGTTTTCAGAAGATAGATAAACATGAAGGTATGGGAAAAATAATAGTATTTATACTTAAAATGTTCATTATTTAACTTTAATATAATTTGTAATTCTTCTTATAATGGCCCTTAAATGCATACAATCAGTAATCATAACTATGCAGTTTTAAAAAATTTAAAACGAGTAAATTAATTACAATGTTTACCCCATCAAAAAAATAAAAAAACAAATGGTTGGAATGTTGAAGCAAAGCTTCTGTCTTGTAGATGAACTGAATCGCAGAAGATAACAATCCTAACCAAATAAGCAATATACATTCATAAAGAAGAGATTAGAAGTTTCTATAAACTTGTCAATTAATCTCTTATTCAGTTGGCTACAACGTAGGACTAGGTTATATATATGCATCGGTCCAAGTTGCCATACCTCATTAGCACAAAAAGATGAACACTAAATTCACAGAAGCCATTACTTCAATGGTAGTAAAAACAGATTTCATATAAGGATATGATACAGGGAGAAACACTTAGTGCGTAGAGTGAAAGGTATAAAGCAATTTTAATCTCATGGTTTAAGGGAAGATAAAGTGTATACGCCTACGCCACTGTGATCCATTATGAACCAGTGTCACCCAGAGTCTTCAATCATTGGTTACAATGGACACGCGGACCCCAACCAAGTAGTTTGCATCTACCAACATGGCTCAGACAAGAAGCTAGTGACTTTATGAATTGATGCCACGTTTCAATTGCGAAACAATAATGATATAGAATCCATAAAATTAATTCAGTATACAATTACTTTGGTCGATTGTCTGTTTAATAATTCCATAACTTCTTCACGTATTCGTTTACTTTCTTTTTCACGTATCGTTTCAGCACCCAACAGATTTTCTAAATCAAATTCTATTTCATGATTAGTGTCTTTTATAGTAGATTGATAATGATTACATTTATCATTAGGTGGACGTTTATTTCTATCGGATATTGACTCATTATTTTCACATTGTTTTCTGATATTAGAAAGATTGAGTTTCCGTTCACAGTCTGTAGGCATTGTTTCTGATGTATGGATTACATGTTGATGTGACGTTTTCAATTGTTGAATATTGCTATGGAAGAAATTAATATTTACAATACAATATGACAGTTTCACATGTGATTTAATCAAGAACATAACACAGTGAGGTGCTATATATAGATATATACATGTATGAACAGTAATTGTTTAACTATATAACATAATGGGTATTTATCAATTGAAAATGAAAGAGAAAACTGTCAATTTACTTAACTATGATTAAAGTCAGACTGCGAAAGATTTGATCAACTGTGATACAATCACTACAAGACCTAGAAGTTGTAGTTTCGATGACGGAGTCAATGAAGTAAACTCCTATGAGACTTTTGGTTCTGCACGACATCGCTAAGAGTCCTAAACAGTTTTTGTAGAGTGAAAACGGTTCTTATCGCAGGCTTCTAAGCTATGATGAAACAGCTACTCAATGCCACCAGATTTTCAATGGTCCTCCAAATGGCGTCGATTCGTGACCAAAACTTTTATTTGTTAACAAATAGCATGGGATTGGCCCCAAAATGCCCTGGTATGGCCGAGAGTGGGGTGGACCCGCCCTCCCTCTCGAAATGCTCTCACACGGCCATGCGTATACAGCCTCTACCAGGGAAGTCCTACTCACTGCATTCTCGTGGCACCGGTGTTGTTTACGGAATTGAGAGGACGTAAAGCGAATGTCCGGTGCATTAACCGGATTCCAAACCAATGGTGCACATGGGCTCCAGTATCCTGAGGGAACAAATGGCGTATGAACCAATTTTCGGCCACCGGCTACCATGGGACTGCATCTCCTCACGACGCTCCACTGCCCTGTGGATCAGACCTTTAGGTCAAAGGCTCCGGGTGTGGCCCCCTAAGAAAATCACCTGTTTCGGTTTGTGCACCCAGGCAATGTCATAGCCCACACACAAATCAAGTGAATGATGTGGCGCCTATGTACCGATATTTGTGTCCAAATAAATAAATAAGATTTATTGACTGAAATCCTGATTTTCGCGCAACGAAATTTCATTACAGATCCATTGCCCATACTTCAAGTAATGACTTTAACTTCCATTTCATTGGTTACTGTCTTTCCCCATTATTTTCTTTCAGATATTACAGAATCAATAAGAAAGTTATGCATACGAATAAGTTCTATTAACTTAACTTCTATAGAAACAGTAAAAGGTCTTTCATGAAAAGTCAATCTTTATTTTATTACAGTAATTGTGGAACAAGTACGATTCAGGGTGTTGTTATCGTATATCGTTAGCTTACATTGAGTTTGCGCAATGCATAGAGCTAACATCTTATTTCTACCAAGCATTGTAGGACCGGAAATCCAATGTGGAAACCGACGACGATGTTCAGCTACCTTAATTAGAGTGGGTATACAAAATTCAAATACACGATATATTAGATCGACTGTGGAACAACTATACATTGTTTCCAGTTTATGATATTGTCCTTAAATAAAATAATTTCTCGAAGAAAAACTTTGCTAGTTAAATATGGCAATTGTACTACTTACCTTGACTGTTTAGGGATTGATTTTTCGAGATCAGCTGATAAGATTAACCAAATAATTATTTAAGATCAACACAGAGGGTACAGTTGGTTGAAAAAAAGAAGAAAAATGAGTGAAACTTGTCGAAAATGAAGTCTAGATTATTTCATCACAGGATGTTGATAAAATAAAACTTGGTATGTAAAATAGTGGGAATTATGAATTATAAAAATGCATCAAAATCATGTGATCAGTGATACTGTAGTGGACAAAACACGAGTGGGGACAATCGAATGTATTTAACACAAAATTACAGGACTTGTTAATAAAATCTAACAATCATATAGTAAATGCATAATTTGCAAAATGAGCATCAATTGTCTCAAAATGACTCAGACTTTATTGTTCTTGCATTTCCATACAAATTGCATTTTGTCTCCATTCTTTACTGTTCGATCATCTTGTTTCTCCGCTGCCAAACATTCTGTTCATGACTAACGTCGCATACTACTTATGTCGATATAGGTAGCACACACCACAATACCAAATGACCCGATTTTTTTTAGTAAGAACAGTTTAGTAAACACTTAATAAACCCAGATTATTATGGACGAAATAAATGTTCCATATTTAGATAATACTAAGCTAGTTGGTCAGGTTATTCCCTGCAAGTGATATTTCACTAGTCATAGTAAAAACAGTATCGATCGCCTGTTTACATTAGTATTATTTTAGGTATCATTAAGACGGTGTAAAAATTTGGGCATAAAATTCGAATGTTGCGAACGATTTGAGGTTTGGAGATAGTGTGTACTTCTCAAAGTTAGGAATGGTAAAGCTCGTAGTCATATACAAGTTAATAGCTTAAACTGAGTGGTAGTCACAAATGTGTTTGTCTAGTGATGATAGAATTCTATCGATCTAGTTGTAACGAGGCCACTAGTCTGGATGACTAGACATCGCATACACATAAGGGAAGATAAATTGCGAATGCATCCATGAAGTTGCAACCGATTATAAGTTATATCACCCAACAACGCTAATTGTCACTCATGATAGTTGGGTGAACTCTAGTCAGGTAGTTTGTAACTACCAATATATAATACCTTTACAAATTCGAGTTACAACTTCACATGGATGCTCTTGGCTTTCTCCTAACTTGCACTAGCCAACACTGCATCCTATTGATTTTGTCTCTCAATTTCTTTTTAAGTAGAACAATTGTAGGTTTACGTTTGTTACCCTATAAACATGATATGAATCTCCCCTTCCAAATAATTAATAAAGATATTTCAAGTTACAAGCGATCAGACAACATCTATGACACAAATAAACTTGTATTTATTCTTTTATCACTAATGTTGTTCATACTCTACTAAAAGTAACAGTTATACATCTTACGTGCAGTAGGAAAACTCATAATAAGTAAACTAAATCACTTACATGATTTATCGAGTAAATTACAACTGTGATCTGATTGTTTCGAATCGACAGTAGATACATTTTGCGATTTGTGACAGGGATATTTTCCAATATGATCACAGTTACTAGATGACGAATTCAATAATCCTGATGAAGAAGTTACATTCGACTGAGAATGGACTGAAAGTGTATCAGACGACACACTCGTTATATTATTATCACCGAGTTTTCGTTTCAGTGCATTTTCGATAACAGAAACAGTTGACTGGTTAACATTAAAAGGTTTGTTAATTGAACCAATTCCAGTACTGCTATTACTTGTAAGTAAGGCAGCGGAAGACGAAGTTTTTGTAGAATGAGTAACAGAAGCTAAAAGTTGACGTCTTGCAGCTAAACGTTCACGTAAAGAATTCTGTTTAGCTTTAGCTGCTTCAACAGAATCTAAAGCAGAATTTTCAATTGGAACAGAAGCAGGAGTGGGATTGTGTGACATTTTCGACATCCCTACATGAAGATTGAGAATAAAATGTCCAAAATGTGTTAGCGAACAAAAACATATATAGGTTGTCTTTCTTAAACTTAACGTTGTTTACCTCATGAATAGGAATAAACTGCATTGAAAACAACTTTCACCACAATAAACTAATGAAGTTTTAATCGTATGTGTAGTTACTGACAATCTGATTGTAACAGCAAACCAACAATGGCTCCAGGAAATCTTTAATTTCGGTCAGATAGATTTTATATAGCATTTAAAACGGCTTTGCTCTGGTAATTTATATACATTATTATTGAATATTACATTAGGTGCATTTAAACGACCGAACAACAAAGATTTTTAGGAATATAGAGATGTTAAAATAATCGGCATTTCATGCAGATAGACATGATTGTTAAATGAGGATCACGAAATGTGCCATGAGTTACAAACACCTACCAATTAATTAATTCTACGATTTAGGATGTTAGTGATAAGAGTGACTGTTTAAAAATGTAAATCGTTTAGTGGTGATGGGAATTCGGGAACATGAACTACGGAAAAATATTTTGTCATAAGTCACAGGAATTTCTAAACTACTAATACTATCCAGTTACTGCTCTCATCAATATAATAAAACAGCTATATCTCACAACATTAAACAAACATCAGCAATGGAGTATTTATCTGTGCATCATCACAATGAACACTTCATGAAAGAAGTAGACAGAACGGCGATATACTGGTAAGCACGTTTACTTTCGTAGACCAACCTGTTGCACAGTTTAAATTGACTAGAGGAAATGAAGCTTCCGAACGCATTTATTACTTAATTTATCATTAACCCTTCCGAATCGGTGTCTGAAAAAATCTTAGCACAGATTTAGAAGGGTTGCTTGACTTTCGTAAATTTGTATCTTTTGTATATTGTGACCACCGATTCAACAATGTCAAGGTAGGACGTAGGGAAATAGGAGAAGAGTGCAAATCAGCCGGTGAGGTGAATATTCATCGACTGAGGTAGTTCGGATATGTTGAGTATGCTCAGATAATACCTACCCCTATATGCAATCATGAGGAGCGGTTTGACGGTGAACTAGAGAAAAAACGAAGAAGTGGGACTATTGGGTTTTAGACACATTATTGGGGTCCGTAGAATGACCGTCTCCAACCAATGATCGAGGGGAATGGGATCAAATAGTCTAAATTTAGCGACACGGCTGGGACTGACGACCAGTTACTTTGTATGTCGATAACATTTTCTGGTTATCTATGGCACTATAGTGGCCTCCTCCTACTATACTACATCATATCTCAAAAACTGCAACACTTGTAGCGGCGTCGAGTCGAGATTGACTATGTACACCGCTACCCACTGATCAGTAGATTGTGGAAAGCACTTTCTAATAAGGAACACTACACTTAATTGTCATTATCCTGCATTCAAACTTTCAGTGCTTTTAAGAGTTTATTAGATAAAGATTAAAATTTAGAGAACGTTCCAAATAGTACTATTTGGCAAAATTTATTCCATGATACATATCTAATTAGCTGGAAAGACTAAATCAGTTACCTTACATCTACGGAACTAATTATTATAGCGATTACAATTTTATGGCATCTGAACTTAATTACCGAGTTATTTGGTGATTGTAAAGTTTGGCGAATTCCCTCGAAATTCACTGAAAAGGCCCAACAGATCTCAGTCGTCCTGTTATTTTTATGCATAACTACATAACATAATTAAAGGTTCGTTTGCAGACAGTGAACACAAATTAAAAAAAACCCAGGTAGGAATATAGATTAACTGGATGAATGGAGACTAGCCCGAACAATATTATAATATTGTCATTATATTGTCACTTGAAAGAAAGTAAGACAAAATTCATGGTCTCAACGTAACATAATATGTGTTTACATTAACATGCGCATATTTATATGAATATATAATCATATTTTGTTATTTACGGAACAAGTATTACCGGTAATACAGACGAATGCCCGTCCTTGACCAGAAGGGTAACCTTCAGCTTTGCAATGTTGCTTCTCTGAATACTCAATATACAATAACATTTTGAAGAGTCAGTGTGAACTAGTTAGTTTCTTAGATCCCTCAGGTTGCGTTAGGTGTAGTTCGAGCCATTTGATGTCATCTATTGTGTGTAGTATAGTCACTTGGCTGAACTAGTTCTTGTAAATGTGACAGTCACTTGGAAGTCTACCTGTCTTGAGTTTAAGCGAATCCGTTCCTTATGTGGTCATGGGGTTGCCGAGACCGTCAACTATCAAGTTATACTATCGCCGACAGATTGTTTGTGACACTCAGAATTTTAAGTGGAAATATAAATAAGTGTAGGGAGGACAAGGGTTCAAGATCAGTAAATAAATTAATAAACGACCTGCTTCTACTCCTTCGAACTTCGTCGGACTCGAGGAGCTGAATAAAATATATGATGACACGCAGCTGATCACTGTTTCACTACGATACGACAGGGATTGTCACTGCCTAAAGAAATAATGGATCCTCAGAACTTTAATTCTTGAAATATCATCCGGGTTGAAAAACGAATAATACTGTTGCTTTGGGTTTGTAGAGGTAAAGAAATCCATAAAAGTGGATAATTTTGTAGGTCTTCAGCGTTAAGTCTGACGAATATAGTTTTGTTGAATACGTCTCTAGCTTATAACTCTCACACAAGATTACGTCTGGGTATGCCGTCATGCATATTTCTTACGATAACTAGTAGGCTCAGGTTACATAGCTCTTAACGCTCCGACGATTTCTCAAATATACCTGACCATTCTTTTACCTCTAACTACTGAATCAACTGTCTTCGAGATCCTCAAATAAAATGAATATTCGTACCACAACGTTAGCAAGCACTGTAAAATCAAAAAATGTTTAGGTTTTTGAGGGAATGGTTGGATGTTCATCTTATATATACGGACGGTTTAAATATGCGACAAATCGGGTTGTAAAAATGTGTGTGGTGTCTGATCTAGTAAAGTCATCAACACAATTCTCTTTGATAGATCAAGGCGCTTGATTTAAGGTGACCACTACTTGTGGAGATGGACCTGTCAAGCTTATTTTGTAAATAGTTTTCAATGTTATTTGTATTTACTTTGTCAACCTTCCACTGTATGTATATTTAACATTAAATGACTGTAACTGTTGTTTTAGTAAATGACCTTGAACACACTTTCCGTTGTACTGCTACATTGCGTGCCATACCGCTGCTAGCTAACAAATACAACGCTTCTCGCACACTCATCGTTCTACTTCCATTTGTGATTGAGATATCCGAAGTCTAAATCAAATTCTATCTTCATTTATAGACTGTAACCGAAATATATCACATTCAACGTTGGATTATATCATTAGAGAGTTCAACTTGTTCAGAATCAACAAACATTTATAATTGTGGATTTACTTTACTGGACCTAACCCTAACACGCGACGTCTGATCAATTTAAGTAACGTCCCCAATTTTTACTGTATTTGTGACAATTAATTATATATATTAATATTACTATTGATTTTTAATAACTTTGTTTATATTTTTTGTGTTCATATCTGTTTGGTCCACCACAATTATTTGGTGAGCCTTGAATTCATTATAGACGTTTACTGTTTATATATATATTCATTTTTTTTATTACTTGGCACGCTAGTCCATTTATATTTGTTTTTGCCATCATGAATTCTCCTGGTAAACTCATTGATATAGATAGTCCACTGATCAACTCCTTGAACTCTTCACAGTCAGAAGATAATGCCTTAACCTCGATCAACGCAATTTCAGACTTAAGACTACCAACGTTCGGCGTTAATAATCCAAGAATCTGGTTTGCACAAATCGAAGCTTTGTTCATGGCTAGAGGTATAAAATCTCAGGCAACAAAGTATGCTTATGTAGTTGGGGCACTCCCTATCGAGATTGCTGCGGAAGTCGGAGATTTAATCGATCACGTGCCAGAAGCTGAACCTTATGATAAATTAAAGACAGCCGTAATCCAACGCACCTCGGTTTCAGATGAGAGAAGACTGCAGCAATTGCTAACTTCTTGCGAATTGGGGGACAAGAGACCCTCGCAATTACTCCGACATATGAAACACTTAGCAGGGCCATATAAGGTAGACGATGCATTGCTTAAACAGATGTGGTTTCAACGTTTACCACAGAATGTCACCCAAATTCTCAGCATATCAGGAACTTCCGTCAATCTCGACGATCTAGCTGATATGGCTGACAAAATGATGGAGATTTATCCCGACAGCCAACGTTTGAATGTACTACAGACCTCTAGTGGAGACACGATTAGCCCATCTAACAGCATCCAACAACAAATAACACAGTTAACACAACAGCTAGCAGCACTACAAGCGACTATTTCTACCATCCATTCTCGACCTGCCAGATCTAGGTCCAGAAGGAGATCAGTATCCAGACCTCGTCTTAGGTCACCCAAACGGACATCAGATACTTGCTGGTATCACGCGACTTTCGGGGAGAAGGCACGCCGTTGCACTAAACCATGCAACTTTAAAATAAGCAACTCAAAGGACCAGGGAAACGAGACGGCCAGACAGTGATGGCGGCGCCTGTTTCTGGCCACTACCCGAGCCGTCTATTTCACGTCAGGGATCGGATTTCGGGCTCAGATTTTTTAGTCGACACAGGAGCCGAAATCAGCATAGTCCCATTACACCTTTCTCAACGACGGCACTCGCAAAGTACTAAATTGTCTCTAGTCGCTGCTAATAACACAGTCATTAAAACTTATGGTGAACAATCACTCATCTTAGATTTTGGTCTCCGTAGACGTTTCACATGGGTTTTCATCGTAGCTGAAATTAAACAACCCATTCTCGGGGCCGACTTTCTTGGTGCTTACAGCCTATTGGTAGACATGGGGAAAAAGAAACTTATTGACAAGAACACAAGTTTGCAGGTCAGTGGCACTCCTGCCTCGAATTACGAAATTCATGGCGTTCGAATGTTAAGACCTGAAAACAAAATTTTCACTGATATCCTGTCGAAGTACGAAAGCATAACCAGAACTGATTACCAAAACGAATGCTCCACACATCATGTTCAACACAATATCTCTACTACAGGACCACCCATTCGTGCTAGGGCGCGAAGACTCCCACCAAACAAGTTGCAGTTCGCTAAGAGAGAATTCGAACACATGATGCAGCTTGGGATAATCAGACAATCTAACAGTCCTTGGGCCTCGCCGTTGCATATGGTTCCCAAGAAAGATCAAGACTGGCGCCCATGTGGAGATTATCGCCGACTAAATAACCAGACTATCCCAGACAGGTATCCAATCCCTCATTTACATGATTTTTCTTTAAATTTACATGGAAAACAGATTTTTTCAAAGTTAGATCTAGTCCGAGCATACCATCAAATACCGATGGCGCCTGAAGATATCGAAAAAACAGCTGTAATTACACCTTTTGGCTTGTTTGAATTTTTGAGGATGCCTTTCGGACTAAAAAACGCCGCTCAAACCTTTCAGAGATATATGGATGAAGTAACTAGAGGTTTGGAATTTGTATTTGTCTATATCGACGACGTTTTAATCGCTAGTTCTTCCACTGAAGAACATGTCCAGCATTTACACACGCTTTTTGAACGTTTCAAAAGTTATGGTGTTGTAATCAACCCTTCGAAGTGCATATTTGGAGCCTCATCTCTGGAATTCCTAGGACACCATATTGATTCCCAAGGAATTAAACCGCTTGAAGAAAAAGTCAAAGCCATCTCCAGCTACCCAGAACCAACCTCAGTAAAATCACTACGTCGTTTTCTGGGAACATGCAATTTTTATCGTCGATTTCTACCAAATTGCGCCGATGTACTACAGCCATTGACAGATTTACTGAAAAATGATAAATCAGGTACCAAGAAAGAAAAAAACCAAATATTTAAGTTACCTTCTGATGCTAAAGTAGCATTCGAAAAAGCTAAATCCATGATTGCTAATGCTACCATGCTTCAACATCTAAATACTGACCCCACAACACAGTTGATCCTATGCACAGACGCTTCACAAAAAGCCGTCGGGGCGGTATTACAACAGCGAGTAAACAACTCGATTACCCCAATCGCCTTTTTCTCCAAGAGATTATCACCAACACAAGAACGTTATAGCACTTTTGGACGCGAACTCTTGGCTATGTATTTAGCGGTAAAACATTTCAGTTTTCTGTTACAGGGTCGCGATTTCATCATTATGACGGATCATAAACCCCTTTGCCATTCTTTTGGCACATCGTATGACAAACACTCGCCACGAGAAGCAAGACAATTGGATTACATCTCCCAATTCACTACAGACATCCGGTTTATCAACGGTCACTCAAACATTGTCGCTGATGCACTGTCTAGGAGAGATATCAATATGATGGTACGCAATCATGACATCAGCCTTGAAACTTTGGCTAAACTTCAAGTAGACGATGCAGAGTTGAAAGTCTGCAAAGAAAAGTCTAGCTTAAACCTCAAACCTGTACCAATTCCGCTTTCAGATGCATTCATCATGTGTGACACCTCAACAGGCAGCAATCGTCCGTTTGTCCCACATGCCTGCAGACGAAAAATATTTCAGCACTTACACGGTCTTTCACATCCAGGCATCAGAGCAACAACAAGGCTCATCACTGAACGTTTTGTGTGGCCGAAAATCAACTCGGACGTTAAGCGTTGGACACGTAGCTGCCTCCAGTGTCAACGCAGCAAAATACAAAAACATACTATCAGCCCGATCGGCGAATTTCCTATTCCCGACAAACGTTTTCAACATATTCATTTGGATTTAGTTGGGCCACTGCCCCCGTCCAATTCCTTTACCCACATTCTCACCGCAGTAGACAGATTTACAAGATGGGCCATAGCCTGCCCTATAAAAGACACTTCCGCAGAAACGATAGCTGGCGTTTTCCTTGAGCGTTGGATAGCAAATTACGGAGTACCGTCTATCGTCACTACAGACCGTGGTCCCCAGTTTCAGTCTATCTTGTTTCAGGAATTTACAAGACTTCTGGGCGTGAACCACAT